GCGCGCAATTATCTCAGATACCTCAATCCAGCCATACTAATCATCAATAACAGGTGTGTTTGAAGAACCGAATTAGCCAGATCCTGATTAGCGCGATGATATCATCCTGGATGTGACATTTAATCTCGGATGTAATAAGCGACGTACGAAGAACGGGCCCCTGGAGATCAGGTGTTGACTTTACTTTCTATTCCGGCTTCGCCTTTTTTTAGCTATCATAATCCCCTCACGTTTTTGCGTTCCTTGTATTCTACTAATCAGCGTCTTATTCATTGGCCGTTGTTTCTGCAGCCGTATTGTTTGGAAATCCGACATATTCGGGGAGTTCATAATGTTATGGCTGATGCATTGTCTCGTTCATTTTGAGATGAGGTAAATGAGTCTGTTTTCTGATTGTTTTTTTTCCTTTCCTCTCATTCAGGTATTCCTTTCTCGTTTTTTCAAGGCGCCTGAAATATTCGAAGGGAGGGATGTGTGGTTTGAGGGGATGGTGGAGTTGCTTGGTGGGTGGTTTTATATTATGTATGGATAAATGTATTTGGATTTAGTTGGGAAAAAATTGGATTTGGATTTTGTAATTTTTGGTAGTTTGGATCAGAGACTGAGTAGTCCCTGTCTTGAGGGGGGAGGTGTTATGACCCGGGGTAGCACCTGTTCCCTAAACGGGATCTGTTCGCCTCTAGGTGGTGTTCTGGTGTGTGTGTTTTCTTTTGTCTGTTTGCAGGGTGGAGACAAGCGGCAGGTGCGGTGGATTACCTATGATGAGTTGACTGATAAAAGGATCTCTGTCCTCCGGTGTGGTGTGCCTCGTGGAAATGCGACATATTCGGGGAGTTCATAATGTTATGGCTGATGCATTGTCTCGTTCATTTTGAGATGAGGTAAATGAGTCTGTTTTCTGATTGTTTTTTTTCCTTTCCTCTCATTCAGGTATTCCTTTCTCGTTTTTTCAAGGCGCCTGAAATATTCGAAGGGAGGGATGTGTGGTTTGAGGGGATGGTGGAGTTGCTTGGTGGGTGGTTTTATATTATGTATGGATAAATGTATTTGGATTTAGTTGGGAAAAAATTGGATTTGGATTTTGTAATTTTTGGTAGTTTGGATCAGAGACTGAGTAGTCCCTGTCTTGAGGGGGGAGGTGTTATGACCCGGGGTAGCACCTGTTCCCTAAACGGGATCTGTTCGCCTCTAGGTGGTGTTCTGGTGTGTGTGTTTTCTTTTGTCTGTTTGCAGGGTGGAGACAAGCGGCAGGTGCGGTGGATTACCTATGATGAGTTGACTGATAAAAGGATCTGTCCTCCGGTGTGGTGGCCTCGTTGGAGCTTGACTTCTCTCCAGCACCAGACTTTGAGCTTTCTTTGATGTTTGATCTTTTGTTGTTTTCCTTTCTCTTCCCGTTTGGGTTTTATTATAGTTTAAATTACGTTAATAAATGTTTATTTAGAAGGCGAACATTTAGCATTTTAGGTCTAATCAGCCAATATTGTCTTAAATAGCCTGCATAGCACGTCATCTTTTATAACATGGGATTTTGACCAAATATATTCCATCTTGATTTTTGTAAAATGTTGCAACAAGATATTATTTTTTTGTGTGCGAAAAATTAGTTTTTGACATAAGGTAATAAAAAATATTTTTAAAAAATACCTTAAAGTAACTACAATTGAGCATGTAAAACAAATATCTTTAAAAAAAATAAAAATAAATTCCATGTGGAGCATGCCCCCGGTTCTCACCCTTTTTTCCCCCTTACCGGTTTTCAACTCTGCTATACCTTTTTGTTGTGAAATGTTCCTGTGTATTATAAATTAATTTATTTCAATGGGTTTGTTTGTAATTTGTAATTGTATAAAAAAAATGAATGAAGTCATAATTATACTTGATTATTTTATTGTAATATTGGACCCGTAAACCGATTATTTTCAATCAACTTTAAAATCAACTTTAACTTTTCTTTAATTTTGTTCTTACACAAACAATCTGTACAACAGACATTGAATGAAACAACATTTGAACGAATGAGGCATTTATATAACGCTTTATTGTGTACTGCTGTACACCCAAAGCACTTTAAAATCATGTGGGGGGGGTCTCTCCTCAACCACCACCAGTGTGCAGCATCCACCTGGATGATGCGACGGCAGCCACAGTACAACGGCGTCAGTGTGCTCCCCACACACCAGCTACAGGTGGAGAGGAGAGAGAGTCATAGGCTACGTTCACACTGCAGGCAAATGTGGCCCAAATCCGATTTTTTTGCTCACACGTGACTCAGATCTGTTTTTGTCATGACAGTGTGAACAGCACAAATCGCATGGAATCTGATCTTTTCAATTCCGATTTGTGCCACTTCTATATGTGGTACTAAATCCGATACATGTCAGATGTTTTGCAATGTGACCGCAGTGTGAACAGTCATGTCGGATTTCCTGCGAATTTTACGTCACTCTAGATCGACATTCGTCATAATTCCGCGCTGAGGGGTGACACTTCAAAGATTTGCCCAAAATTATCAAGACAGTTGCGACAGGTAATCAGTGGAAGTGTAATGTATCAGAACTCATAGGAATTACAGTGACAACTCTATATACACTGAACAAAATTATAAACGCAACACTTTTGTTTTTGCCCCCATTTTTCATGAGCTGAACTCAAAGATCTAAGACTTTTTCTATTTACACAAAAGGCCTATTTCTCTCAAATATTGTTCACAAATCTGTCTAAATCTGTGTTAGTGAGCACTTCTCCTTTGCAGAGATAATCCATCCACAGGTGAAGATGCTGGATGTGGAGGTCCTGGGCTGGTGTGGTTACACGTGGTCTGCGGTTGTGAGGCCGGTTGGCTGTACTGCCAAAGTCTCTGAAACGCCTTTGGAGACGGCTTATGGTCTTCGACGGCTTACGAACTCATGACAGTATAGCTGTTCTATTAGGACTGGGGAAGACGTAATTATACTTTCCATTTATTTAAAACAATTCTATCCCTTATTCACACACATTTTGTCAGCTGCTCTGATTGACTTTCATTTCCTATGCAAGGTAATGTTATATTTGTACCTTTATTTATTTATTTTCCAGTTCGCATATGTTTAGTTCCAACCACTAAAATGTCTTAATTGCCCTAGGAGAATGAACTTTTTTACCAGTAAAAAACAGTTGTCATTTTGGACTGTGATCTGTTTGGACCCTGTAACTGGAATGCATGGCTATATTTTAACTTTTGCAAGAATGCAAGAATTACTCTGTACATTTATTATTTACATTTCGCAATGAACTCGTTTCTCTGTGCACATGAAAATAAAGACCTGCAAAAGAGCTTCCTGCTAACTTTACAAAGAATGTTTTTGAGGCTTATTAAAGCCATTCATATAAATGTTATGTAGCGCTTTATATAACACAACAGTGACAAACTAATTCAATTTCAACTAATTCAATTTCTGTAGATCAAATGGAACATGACAGTAGCAACACCATGATTCCCAGGGAATGTATAAACTGATCATACATGTATGAATACTTTGAATGCAATGTCAAGTCAAGTCAGTTAGGATAAAAGCGTCATTGTATGAATGTAAAGGAATTATACTGTCCTCCAGAGTCAGCAGGCCATCTTTTATTTTCCTCTTCAACAGAAATAATTGAAAATAAATTAAGAGGTAAAACATTTTTTTTTTTTTTTATTAAAAATTAAAACGCATTATATTTCAGTCAATTTGGGTCTCATACATAAAACACAAAACTAAGTCTTTTAAAATCATGTTTTAAATTATTTTTAAAACATAAAATGTATTTAAGTTTAATGATGAACTTGCCTTGATCTGAATATCTTCTGGTTTCCACTCTGGCCTCAGTTTCTTAAGAAGTTCTAATATCCCATGCCGAGGGGTGCGCTCATCTACACAGACATCTAAATGTAACCTCTCGCAACACCCATCATTTGGATACCTTTTCATTTCCATTCTTTTTAATTAAATTCACAGTTCAGATAATTCAAATAAGTTAAATGACAGATAAGGAAGCTTTGTTTTAGGGCTTGTCAGCGTAATGATCTGATCTCAGCTGTCTATCGTAACAGTGTCAGGTGGACTCTTGGTCCAGGCTTGCAGGACCACTCTATGTATTCAGTGACTCAGCAAATCTCAGGGTTTATCAAAGTGCAACGTTCTTTTGGGCATCTTCATTGGTTAGTTAGTGAAGTGTTTACATATTAACCCTAGTTTCAAATGAAGAAGCAAATCTAAAGAGAAAAGCCTTAATGTTTGATTTAAGTAAGCATACTGTAATCAAATAACGTGCATCTATCTATCTATCTATCTATCTATCTATAGGGGCATTGGGTGGTAAAATAATTAATAATGAAAAAATTAAACAAATTTAGTTGTGTACAAATCTTTTTTTCCCAATGCAGGGCTTGTTATACATTGTGCACAGGACCCAACTATTTAAAGTTTTACTTGGACCTATATAAAGCGAGCTGTGGGTTTGGTTGGAGGTTATTGAGAATGAACAGAGAAAAGTCACGTGAGAGGCAGCAATGCAGTGTTTACCAAGCTTTGATGACTGATAACCCAAAATAAGTTGACTATTACAAATAACTGCTGATCATCACAAATAAAATACAGCCGAAATCTAAAAAAAAAAAAACACGAAGGATTTTGCCTCCTCAATTTAGAAAAACAGTGCATGCCACTATTATATGAGGTCGATTTGCTATAGCATTTAAGGAAAGGTCTAAGATGCATGCCTACCTGCTCAGTCAACAAATTTGTGTTTGGGACATTTTTTCCACACAGGTGTTCACAGTTATATCTCATATTAAATGGTATATTAAATCGTCTTGGTGCTTGTTATATGCTTGGCTACTCATGCTTCTAAGGGTGTTTTCACACCTAGTTTGTTTGAGCCCTCCAAATTAATGCTCTCGGAGTGGTTCAGGTCGTATATGTGAATAAACAAGTGATCTCAGACCCCCCTAAAAGGACCTAAAAGTGAACCGTACCATAAACAGAACCACCTCCAGAGGTGGTCTGAGTCCGATTAGTTTGTGGGGCCGTTTGTGGTTCGATTTCCTTGTGATTTGTGAAAGCAATCCCGGTCTGCTTTGTATAAACCAACATAACAGCATGCTTGAAGTTGAACTAAGCAGTTTATTATTATTATTATTAATCAATGTCATTTCAGACATTTCAATCTCTTGTTACATTTTTCAAAAATAAATAAATATGTAAATAAATAAGCCAACTGTTTGCTCTTGATACAAAATAATTGTGTTGTCTTTTATGTACTCTATGGCTAACTGTACATTAAATTATTTATTGCATGACGGAGGCAAAGAACAACCCGAAGCGGAGATCTAGCATTCTGCTAGCTTCAAATCAGACACAGAGATGAAGTAAGATCACCTTTGAATGCATGAATTATAGCATTGATTTTAATTAATTATCGAGAGAGAGAGAGGGATGAAAGTTGTGTGTGAATAGCGTCTGTGCGTCTCATTCTCCAAACAGTGAAGCTGTGAATTTCGTTACTTCAAAACATCAATTTTACCCCCTAGTTGCTGAGAAATATTGCGATTCAGTATTGAAGCTATATTAATAAAACTTGCACGGCAGCTTTGACAACAAGTGTCCATGCTCGTGAATATTTCCGTGTGTGAGCACAAGCTCCGATCTGTGTGTCTCTGCAAGTGATGTTTGTGCGTGTGTGTGTGTGTGTGTGCGTGCGTATGCGTACGGCGTCTTGTGTTGTCAATGAAAGCAGCGAAACAACATAGTAGCAATATTAAGTTAGTTGGAAAGAAACATTTTAATACTACACTGTAAAAAATGATCGTGATTTTAACGGTAAAAGACTGTAAAAATGCCACAATAAAAACCTGTTAAATGATTAACAGTAAGTTTCCTTACTATATACGGTGAATAACTGTAATAGATCTAACCTTTGTTTTCGAGAAAGTAGCCTCAGATTCGACACTCATAGACTGTGTCTGAAATCATACCCTACACCCTCATTCACTATTCCCTACATGAGTTTACTAATACAGTCCACCTGACAGAGAGAATGTAAACTAATGAGTTAATTTAGTCAATGATGAACAGCTGCTGTTAACGAGCAGAATCACTGAAGAAAAGAGCAAGAAATGAAACTACACCTGACTTCAGCCACAGCCTTAAATGAAATCAACTGAAATAAAACAGCAGAGGAGGATTACACAACTCCACAAACAGCATTAACAGCTTCACTCATTACTAACCAGACTCACTTTATTTCAGTGATGTATCTACAAAAATCATTTGAGAATTAACCGAAGTTTATATTGTATTGAAAATGTTTTGTTTGGCCTCACCATTTTGGTGATCAGTGGTTGCTTTAGTTGGGCTCTTGACCCTTTAATGTTAGTTTTTTTCTGTTGTTGTTTCTGTGTGTGTAAAGCACATTTGTTATGACAAGAAGAAAATGTTTTGTTTGGCCTCACCATTTTGGTGATCAGTGGTTGCTTTAGTTGGGCTCTTGACCCTTTAATGTTAGTTTTTTTCTGTTGTTGTTTCTGTGTATGTAAAGCACATTTGTTATGACAAGAAGAGCCGAGAGAAATTGTAATGAAGTGGTTTTGATAACTATTAATGATGAGAAATCACCATTTCATGATCTGATTCACTGATCTCAATTAGTGTCTAATTATATGGGTTGATAAACTTTTTTTTGTTTATGGTACTAATATGACTCTACAAGATATGTTGACAAACTATTAAGAAATTTAAAAACATTTTATGCACAAAACCTGTAGAGCTACAGCACTGTTTAGACACACAGACATCAAGAATCAGCACATGAATCTTAACAATGGTGACTATTATTAATTTTTTTTTAAATCATGTCGCAATGCATGCTGGGTGCCAGTACAAAACTCCCAGCATGTATTGCAGCATGAACATTTTTTTTTTGATTGTCATCAATCTTGAGATTCATAGGCTGACTGTTGATGTCTGTGTGTGTTTAAGTTCTGCCACAGTTCAAAGCTTTATTTGTGTATATTGTGCTTAGGAATGTTTCACAATGATTGCGGTAGTATCAGTGGTGCAATAGTGGTATTAGTTATATGTTACACACTTAATAACAGATTAAACATTAGGTGAGATCAGTGAATCAGACTAGTTCACGATGGTCTTGACATCACAAACACCAGTTCCCTTTCATGGGAACTTCGAACTGCGTCCTCTAGGGGCCGCTATGGGGACGCCTCGTCGTGACCCGTGTCTGAAGCATACATTGAAAAAACACCAACTCGTTGGCCGGCGACAGCCATGACGTCACTACCGGTGCGACTATCGTATAAATAGGCGCCGGGAGCACGCATCATTCTCTTCTTCGTCTTCATTGACTGTTTTGTTTGAAGCGTGCATTTCTGTGGTAAGAGCGATCTCTATTTATCTCATTATGGCGAGCACTAGCAAAGCATTTAAGGATGTGTGCATCCGTGTTGACGTTGTTTAACATCTGATGACACACACGATCTATGCGTTGTTTGTTTGGGCAAAGAGCACGCACGCGATGTCTCCGAGGGGGCAATCAGCATGCACTGCGAGCGTTTTTTCCAAGGAAAAAAAGCTCCGTTCTCGTTTGTCTCTCTTTTCGAGTAAAGAGGGGCAACCATCTGC